AATTTGTTCCAGCAAACAGTGTACAGAACTTTCAACAGAAGAGATTATTATTATTTATTCAATATGAAATGTTTTAAATAGATTTTAAATGGTGATAGTCAAAAATATAAAAATTAAGTTTACATTTGCAGCATTCTGCAAACACTGTTAGCCATAGAATGGCAATATATGCTATTTTACATTTTATTTATAAATGTCAAAGAGCTTTTCTACTTCGAATGGTACATAATTAATTCAAACGAATATCATACATTTTAATTTAGTTTAAAGTATTTTTTTACCATTTTATAATATCAGGTAAGACTGACAAACGTTGACTGCGTCAATAAAATTGAAATACGATGAAACAGACGTATGTAAAAAGTTCAACTTGTCCATTAACATTGAATATTGAAATGGGAGTAGGAAACGAGTAAAATTATACATTTAAATGTGGTTTTAAGTCAATTTTTTTTCAAATATGTGCTACTGTCTGCATCATTAAAAACTTTTTTTCACAGTCAATTTTTTTTAACTTTTCCATTAACATTTATTTACTATTGAAAAGTGGATGGATCAAAAGTAATTCAAAAAAGCCAGAGAAATTGTAAGGGAATTCGTATATTTTAATATAATTCAATTTTATCCAGTTTCCCCATTTTTCGCATTATTTCTGAATCCGATAATAATTCGTTTAACGAGCGCAATGGATTACATTTTGGTCATAAGAGCAATGAATTTTTTGTCTGTCTATTCATCAAGATAGATGATACATTGAGGGATGAAAAGATTCTCCAAGCGCTTAGGTAACATTTGTTGAAATGGTTATTTTATGCTCATTCAGGCACAAACGTCTCGTTCCCTCTCCAAAAAGGTGCTACCGACAATTGTTTGTATTTACTAAACACATGTTAAGCGGAAAACCATTTCACATTGAACGGTTGTTCATGCGGTCAGTATATTTTCACGCTTTTGAGATGAAATATTATATGGTCCGTTTTCCTTAGCTTTTCCGGTCATTGTAATAAATATGTTTTATATGTCGCATGAATAATAGAAATTGGAGAGTAATATACATAAAAAAGTGATGAACGCTCAAAAGTCATTCGAATTATGTGGATGCTTCTTTTGTATCTCATTTTTATGGTTTGTTAAATTGAGGAATTGTTCAACGTTTAAGAGAAAATGCGCTTATTTTGGCGCAGAAACCAACATTAAAAAGAGGATTGCGGTTGGTTCATAGCACCATAGTCTCTGTAATTTATTCCGGTATATTTTTCATCACTTCACAATTGTGTAACTGTTTTTAAAAAAGGATTGTTCAGAAACTACATCTTTAACACACAAAAAAATCGGAATGGAGTTGTTGAAAAAAAAATGAATTTTTCATTTTTAATGTCTTTTAGTGTTTGATCTAGAGCCCTATGGGTATTCACGAAAAAATAAATGTTTAACATTGTAAATTTGCAATTCGCTAACGTCACATTATGCTCAAAAAGCATCTGATCATATCATATTACGATATTACCATTTAACGTACAGGATTAACATGCAATGTTTTTTTCTTCTTATGTTTGCAAAATGTTTGCATTCACTTTAACAAAAAACTGTGCATTGCAAGAGAGAAAACACTTTAAAGTAAATATTAAAAGTCATAATTTATTTGATTTCTATTACTTTATTGCAATTTAGTTTTGTGCAATTGCTGACCTTTCAAATTACATATGATATATTTTGAGAGTGAGTGTGAGGACGTCAAACCTTGGAATTGAAGAAGTTCTGGTGACGCCAAATGGAATCCTCATATACTTGTTTTGAAACTACTAGTCATTGAATCGAGTCACATTTCTTTTTTGGGTTTCATTTCGCGATTACGTACAGACTTTAAGTTTTCCAAGTTGCGCATTTCAAAAATATTTCACTGTGTAAATAATTATCGATTCACTAAATGATTCAGTGGTTTAATCTGGTTTAGTGGATTTAATGGATTTTTGGAATAGAAAGAAAAACGCATTATAATGATTTTTAGAATGAGAAAATGAATAAACAACATTTCTAAACAACCACACTGTGCAATTTGATATTCATCAGTTGATGGTGAGTTAGTTTGTGGAAATCATTCATCAAATTCCATTTCGTATATTCACAAAAAAGGCAAAATAAAAAAATACTATCAATTTTACCGAGAAACTGGCTTTTCGACATTTGGTAATAATATGATCAACAATTCATCATCACATGGCCAGACACTTTTTGTTTTTGATTGTATTAGCATCCATATATGAATCGTTAAGAATAATAATGACTTACGCCATACCGACTCTTTTACCTATACGTAAGAGATAGTCGTAAAATGACCTAGTATAGTTTGAGATTTAGTTGTAATCTCACATCTATCTCCTTAGATTTAGCCACTAGATGCATAGGTAAAAGAGTTGGTATCAGCGTGTGTCATTATTATTCTCAACCATTCATGTCAGGTAACTGATGATATTACATAAGCCATCATATGCCTACATAAATGTGAAAAATCACATGAAATTTGTTGTCAAGTGAGTCTCTGTTTCTATTAATCGTAAATTGACCACCAAATAGAACTTTTCTAGACAATTATTTGAACATCTATTTCATGACATCATCATTAATTGCATTAGAGTAATAGAAAATCAAATGTCATTGCTTCAACATATTGAAATACTTTTCTGCATTTTATGTTACTCAAATAATAAGAATGAAGGCCATCAAATGTCTTAGGACAGAATTTTTTAATTCTGTAGAACATAGAAAATGAATTGTTTCTTCAAATTCGTTAACTTTCGTTAACTTTGTTATAAAAAATATTATTTTTTTATGCAAACTAAAGTGTAAATAACAGATATGCTGCACAAAATTAAGTTACTATGTAATTATTAATATTATTATTATAAGATTCCTTTTTTGTCTATTTAAAAATTGAAATCAAATAATTGCCTTACAAATTTGTTACTTGTTATTATGTTGATTTCAAATTGTTTTGAAGAATTGCTCTTATGAAGTTTTATCTTGTACTTTTTCATTTCAGGTGTTAATATAAATTAATTGAAATAATTACAATCATAAGAACTTGAATGCAATGTGAATCTTAATACTATGATGTACAACAACTATATTATTGAGGGTAACAGAACTCTTTTGCATCGAGTGAATTTAACGTAAAAATGGAATAAACAATGTTATATGAGCCTGTAATAATTCATACAAGTGCTTGATTTTCCTTGGAAGTGTCATAATTGAAGAATTTTAATGACTTCTGTAGCTGGAAAATATGAAATAAAATCTGACTTATGTGTAAATATAACGATGCAAAAGACACAGCGGAAATGTGTGACTAACATGAGCTTGAACAGTGAACACAAGATTTGAATGAAAAACCTAACTTCATTGACGCTTGAAAATGTTTGCAAATTGTTATGAATGGAAACAAAATGAAAATTCATCTTGAATTCGGAATGCTTCTCCATCCGATGTAAATACTTGACTTTAAAAAGGGCAAATGAAACAAACACCTCTGGAAAAGGATGTTTTTTTTAAAATAAATTGTTCACTTTGAGTCTTAATCTAAACTGATGAGAGACAAAAAAGAAGTCATGCCATACCTTTTGAAATCATGAAAATGAAATAGGTTACTGGGATATCTCATCTATTTCGTAGAAAACCAGCAATAATATATTGCGAGTAATTACTATTTAGTAAATGTAATTACAAGAAAACAACCAAAAAGCAATGGCCATAAGTATGCATGTCCCTCTGGGTTTCAATTCTACTTGTTTCCATAATTTCATGTAACGAAGTTTGAACTACAAAAATTTGAGTAAATATTTATGAATGGAAAAAATAGACATTCAAATTCCGCAAATAGCCCAACAATGTAATAATCTAATGCACGTATTCCAGAGAGATAAGTTGTCTTTTTAACCAAACGTCGGTAGTCTCGAAACAACTACAAATTTGATATTTTTTGTGCAATACACAAGTGAGAATCAAAATTGCTACTAATTCCAAAATTGCTTGGACATTTTTATTAGATTTTGTCATACGGTGTTTTAAAATGTCACCGTCACTACCTTTTGTGACGGTGTCGTACAAAGTCTTGTGTCAAAAGAATCACTGTATGACTTTTGCGAAACCATTTGAGAAATTATAAAAATTAGTGGAAAAAGTTCAAATTTATAAGTTGCTCAACGTTCTTTCCAACCTTTTGTTGAAAAACATCAAGCTTTTCATCATTGTTACCTCTTGGTATTTTCGTTATGCCGATCATTTTATTTAATTTGTGATTGGTTCAATGTTTTATCAAAACTGCTTTTGTATTTCTGTTTCAAATTCAAATATATTTGAATTCTTGAAAAATGTTCGGTAAATGTCAAAAAGCATTTCCAAATGTTTTTCAATATGCTGTAAACGAAAATATGGAAATGTTTTCAATGGAAAACATCATGAAAAAGTAATCCTATTTGTTATTCTAGAATTTATGATATTCACTATATCATCAAGAATAACATATATGAATATTATACGTAAAATTACTACCAAGTTACTATTGGCAACCATATATCGTATGCCACACTTTCTATTTATATTTCATAAACAGCTACAGCGCTACTCCGCCCATTCTTCTCATCTTTAATAACTGAAAATTATCATTGCTGACCATTTCAATGTGATTCGAGGAACGTACACCACAGTTCAAATCGGCTTAGAGACTGTTGATATCTGACAAAGCTCGATTTTTCATTCATATTCTATCTCATTCATTTTCATTTAAAATGGATTTTCGGATTTGGTCATTGTTGCGATAGGTGTAAACAATTTGCCGTGATTGTTTAGATTGAAAGGAAATTGTGCGGTTTTAAATTGAATTCACGCAACAAAAAGAATATGAATGGTTATTGTTATCGAAACTTTTGTCATCTTTTTTCAAAAATTAAACAAACTGAACTATGAATGTTACAAATGTTGAACAAAATAATTGAAACACTTACCATGAAGACCAATCTGTATTCTGTGTTGGATGAAAGTCTGTTGCATTACAACAAATTTATGTTTGTATTTTTCTTTATCTATGGAACATACAGTTTTTTCATGTCATACCAACTTGGTCGATCTAATTTTGCGAAAAGTAGTTTTACTAAAACTCTAAGTGTCCATTATCCTTCGAGTTAACAACAGTGTTTGGACGATGATGTTGACGACGATGACACACAACATTTACTTAAAAAATATTTTCATTGAGAGTCAATCTAATGCATGTTATACATTGCAACCAAATAATCGAGCCCCAGGGAGCCCAAATTTTACTAATACCATTATATTATTCGTGTTTGGCATGACGTGCTTTTAGTCCACACCGCAGAACAAACATCGATTAATTGCATCTAAGCAAGCAGCACCGATTTGAATGTCTTACATTACATTAACCAGATTTTATATACATAGCTGGTGTTTGTTGAATACATTCCCACAAAACACAACAATGAGTCTGAGTTTAAGATAGATTATGAAATGAGCAGCCCATAATTGTGGTAAGAATCTTATGTTGATTTACTATATATTTACTTTTGAAGGCGATGAAATTATGAACAAATGCACACTTTTTTCCACTATTGTTCTTTTTCATGTTTGCTAAGCATCAAGCTCGTAACCATTTTGACACCATGTTAAACAAAAGACGAAAAACAAAATTATTATCAAATCACGAAACATGCACCAAAAGTGGCATAAGAGTCCACTTCAATTACGGCAACTGCCATTTCATCTAGTTGTCCGATTATTGGTTGGGTGGTCATATGGATTTATACTATGTTCAGTTTTATCGTACACATTTACTTGTCACTTTTATTGCGTTAGACAGGTTTAATTTATTGAGAACTCTTTAATTGAATCGCTGGCATCCATTCTTTATCTGCATCCGCATATTGTTGAGGTAACACATTTGCCATTTCAATGCAAACATCATAGCAACAACCGGAGAATAAAGATCAATATTTAATGTTCAACGGCCGGGGAAAATGAAATTAGAATTGCGTTTTACAGTCGCCCCATTTTCACAAATTCGATGAGCGCCAACATCATTCAACTTCCACCTTCAGTTTAATATGTTCAAATCTTGGCTCGCTTCGAGTCTTGATGCCTGTGTAAAAGAGAACATATCATTCAAATTTGAAGAAAACAAAAAACAAAATGATTTCCAACTATGGAACTGCTAACGAAAATCTGGAATTACAACTTCGCGGCAATATGTAATGTCGAGAATTGCTTACTCTTGGGAAATTTATGTGGATGACAACTGTGTGAATGTGTACTTGAAATATTATTTGCTAAGCCATAAATTTACTAAAGTCCTGATGCTATTAACACAATCAACAAATTTCACCCGCATCTAATTTTCTCAAGTGCAATTTTGTTCAGATTTCCAATTATGAAATTGCCATAAATTGCAAATTTACCAATTGCCTTTGTTTATTTGCTCGGAAATGATTTATTGAACTGATTGACTAATTTCACTGATTTTTTTCTTCATTCAAATTAACTATCAACGCTACGATTGCTCCGTATGAAACTTAATGGAATAACGATATTTGTCCGTGGGAAATAGAAGAGTAAAATACAACCATCCCTTTAGACGTTATTTTTGCAACTGAGTCCATTATAGTGTCTAGTCACAAGATACCATTGTGAAAATGAGCAAAAAAAATCAACAAGCTTTCACTCACCACATTTTACTCCATTACCGAACATATCATTAGCATAGAGGGTATCATTCAGAAGCTCCAAATGGGAAAAAAGTACTCATTCTAAGCTTATACTCAATTTTGTCTTCTTAATACAAAACACTTTAAGGATAACATGTATAACCGAATTGTTGAGTATTTTTTTCCAAGAAATAAGAAAATAAAAATTACTTGGAGCAATAAAATATTTCGTCCGGTTTTTCAGCATTGAAATACTTTGATTTATTTGATATTTATAAATTTTAGCCGTGCAGAGCTGTTTGATATGAAAATGATATATAATTAAATGCATGTAATTTAAAACTATAAATTATTAAACCCGTAATAAAATTCCGAATAAAATTCAATTTTTAAAATATGCTCGCATAAACATGGCATGCATTTTGAGTTTATGTTTTTACAATTAATTAAGCTAATTAACATTTTGCATTTTTGTAATATGAAAACAATTTGTTTCAATTCCTATCGATTAGAATTTTCTAATAAACGGATTTCAACGCAAATCTAACGATAAGAATATATGATTTGCACATTTTCTTAAAAAAAACATTGGTCAAACAATTTTGATATGGCATAAAAGTAAGTCATCTATATTATTTTCGATGATGAAGCTGTTAACTCAATTTCAATCAATTGAAGCGATTTCGGAAAACTCAATTCCGAAAAGTAATTCGTGCATGGCCTGCCAAATTAGAAAGCAGTAACATATGCATGTGCTGTTATGTAGTCAATTTGAAATGTTTCTGATTCAAAGTACATCAAATGACGCAATATAAAAGTATTTGGTCAACCGTTTGATCTGATTCACTCACAAATATCAAACTCGGTCCATGTCATTTAACGCTGAATATCATGTAAGGGTCGAACCGAATGAGCGAGTTTTCAGCATGAGTGAATTTGCTATAACACTAACATTTCAAATAGACAGATGATACAGAACATTTTGTAGAGCATTCATGAATACCGAGTTCAAAACATGAAAAGTTCAGTCTTTTTTTTTTAGATTAGTCAAACATTTGTTGGTCAAGCCCTTTCACTGTTCACTTTAAACGCTGATGTTACGTATTGTTTGAGAAGCAACCGCCGAAACTAATTTATCTCCTAGAGAATACATGCTCAAGCTTATTTGCAAGTTGCTAATACGGTTTCATATAAATCTTTTATAATCTTTAGCATGCAACTAGTCAGTATATATTGAATTTAACTATGTTTGCAACATGTAAGCTGCATTCTATTAAACTTAATAACTATTGATGATGTACTTGATGTCCCCTTTGTGGTGTTATGTCAATATGTGTTGGCCAGTACATTTTCTGTATTGAGTAGATGAAAAGGAAATTAAAATTTAAATCAATGTTAATGGAATATTAAAATTGACCCTACCTGGGTCAAATATGACTTGTCGTCTTTCATTTTTGCTCATTTTTGATGTGAGTTCGTGAAATAATTTTACCGACTCGTTAAACCAGTTTAAAAATTGTCTATTGGTGCCATTAAAGCCCATAACCGTCTAGTTCATTTTACACGAATAAAAAAAAGAGTTATTAACGTGGCACATATATGGCATGCACTAAATACCTTAAAGCCATTCAATGTGGTGGTTGCATTTTTGCGTGTCCTCAAACATGATTTCGAGCGGTCCGTTTTATCACTTGGCTTGTTGACATCAGCATAATTACACAATTTTAAAACATTGTAGACGATTTCCGGATTTTTTTTCAGCATAAGTGGCGTTATTCGTTTTTTCGATAATTCTTCATATAAAAAAGACAGAAAAAAATTGGTTAGAATTCACCCCAAGCAACCATATGAATTTAACTTACGGAACATCTCGCTCAAGATGATTTGACATTTGAGCAGATCACTTTTGCCAATTTGCATAGACCGGATCAGTATTCTGCCCAAATCAATTAATCGATTTTCGTTTTCTATTAGCCGATTTTTCTCCGCCACTATCACAACGATTTTGAGTACACATTCAAATGTTAATAATAGTAATAATAATAAAATGTCATTTTTGTGGCGTTACCATTGAATTGTGATGGATTGTTTTTGAATGGCATCAAAGCGAATGGATTTAAAACTATTTGCTTATTTTGTTCAACGTCACAAAGTCCATTTTCAATGGACGATTTCAATTCAATGGCACGTTTAACGGATCGATCGATATAGTTGTCGAGTGTTGGCATCACATTTTCATTTGACTGTGAAAATAATTTTATCCCAACACATCTCTTATCGGGTGCAACTGTTAATAACATGGCATCACGAAATTCGGTCGGTATCTTATTATTATTGATTTGAACTAGTTTTGAAAACGTAAAACAAACAATGTTATTAATAATTTATATTAGTTTGAAAAATATCAATTCTCACCTCTTTTCATTGTCATTCGCCTTATTTGCGTTAGATGAATAAAGGAGCGCTTCGATGTTTATCTTGTTCACGCTGCAAATGTCAAAATGTGCACTGAATGTTGACATTTTGAACTATGGAATTCAAAAGTGACAGTTTCGAAGCGTGTACTTTGCATACTACTGCAATGTGCCGCTTAAATAAACAAACTTGTTGTTTCTTCTCTTTCGCACTACATTTGTTGCTGTGAAACATGAATCGCCTTATGTAGACTTTTATTGGTCTTGGCATATAAAATGTTGTGAATTTGGAATATGTCATAATTCTATTGCAGAAAGACAATCAGAAATTTAACGTGTAAACACATTCTTGACAAAAGAGGAGGCATTGAATCTACCGCGATTAAATTGTCGAACATAATAATAGTCTTAGCACGCTTGTTATCAATTCCGAGTGTAAATAAATGTAAGTACATACAAAAAAAATTTCGTCTGACGAACATACATAAAAGAAGTACGAAATAAACGTGCAAATAAAATGTGTGTGCCGATCATATGTTTAGTTGATCGTCTGTCGGCCGCACAGAAATAGAGAACGAGACAGAGAGACAGAGATAAAGCGAGATAGAGATAAGTATCCGATAAATAGCTTGCATTCAAACACGAAGTGACAATCACAATCTTGACTGTACTGTGTCGACTGACAAGATTCACATTGCACAGCATACACAAACACATCTTGACCAATTTTAATCAATTTGATTTGATTTAGTTAGCTTTATTGCTGTTTTGAGCATACTGTTTTCGCTACAACTGATATGGATGTTCTTTCTTGTTATGTAGACTGTTCACATACGAATCAGTTGTTTTTCAGCTGTGAAGAAATCAACTGGAAGCAAATTCTTTACATCCTCATTTCCTTTCAATTTATTTGAGATACGTGAAAATTGTTCATAACATACTACCATATGTTCTATACAGTGTTACAGTTTTTTTTATAAATAGCAAACTCATTCAAAAAGATACAATATAAACAGTTAACAAAATTATTCTTTGGACTAATATTTGAGAGAACAATTTTTTTTTTTGAAAAAATGGTGCTGGCATTTGTCAACTCAATATCACATCCAAGGAAATTGCTTTCAGCTGCGTTTGCTGCTCGAACAAATATTTGTCGCTTAACAAATATTCGTCAAGCCAGCACCAGTGGAATCCGGATTCCAGGAGTAAGTATAATACTATATATATCATGATATAGTGAGCATCGCTTTAATAGTTACCAATTGTGGCAATCATCAGAATGATCTAATTTGCCGTATTAACATATGCAATTAAAATGTTTATGTATATTTGGCGCCTAAGGATAGTATCTTGATAGAGAGAGAGAGAGAGAGAGAGAGAGAGAGGTCGTCAAAGCCTTTTAAAAATGTCCGTTGAATTTCGAATTAATTATTATCAATTAACAAAAATAAATATTCTATTAAATTTGTGTAATGAGTTCATCCCAGTGCTAAAATATATTGCAAAAATTGATTTAAAAAAACGAATGCAGTTTCATAGATAGTATTATTTGTTTTTATTTCTACATTTTGTACTATAATAATAATTTCCATAATTAGTTTGTTTTTCGATTCTGGGCATACTTTGTACAGTCTATTTTACGCATCATCAGCTCAAATACAAGGTCTATAAAATTGGTCTTTGACCAGACATAATAAAGATTGAAAGAAATGTCGAAAAAAGAATTGTTGAAATACTCTCAAAGCGCCCTCGAAGACCGAACAATATGAATTTCTAAATTAATAGCTTACATGCAGAACTGTCGCTATCGGTCACAAAATACTTAATCACAAATTGAATTGAATGGAACTTTGTGTGGCATAGTTTCTCCCGATAATGAAAACATTCATATTCAATTGTAATACTCCACTCCACTTGGTGTGAGTTGAGCTCTAAACCGTATTTATGCAATATAAAAAAATTATAGTATTCTTTGTTTGTCTTTGTTCCTGCAAAACAAACACACAAATATTTATCAATCGCCATATTGTCGTGCGTCACCCAATCAGCCAAAGGTTACAAGTGGTCCCTTGAACAGTGATAAAAATTGCCGATACTCAATTCAATGTGAATGCAGTCTTCATGATTATTTTGAAATGATTTGACGTTGAAACATCAGAAATATCTGTATTGAATTGAAATGATTTAAAAGGTCAGTTTCATGACAATTTAAAATAAGTGTTTGAAAGCATCAACTATAAACACTCGAAGCAATAACAAATAATTAGAAATAGTGTCCAGCTCATTAATTTACGGAAAGAAAAACAATCGTACCATTTTCGGTGGATTATGTCTATTTTCTGTATAGTTGTCAGCTAAAATTGATATTCAAGTAATAGCGAACTGCACACTTCCATTCCGACAACACAAAATTAAACGTGAGACCAGTTTGATCTGAGCGCATACTTCAATTGATTTTTTTCAGTGAAAAAGTCATGAACATCCTATCAATTAAAAAACATCTTTTTTTACTTTTATTTGCCAGACAGTTTTTTTTTCGCTTGGGAAATGAATTTTTTTTTTTTTTTTTTTTTTGAATCTACGTTATTGATGGAAATAAAGAGCGTCGATATAAAAGATTTTTCACCTTTTACAAATTATAAAATATATGGTTATTGATATTGATTTTTCCTTTTTTGGTTAGCTACTCTGAGAAAACTCAGATGTTAAAATTCAAAGTAATAAGAGAAAAATGCCATTTTAACATGGAGAGATTTTTGAACATGGTAAAATCTCATTTTACCCGCAACACATTTCTTTGCGGGTAAAACGGCATTTTAACATGTGACAAAATT